GATAAGCAATTATTAAAATTCTGTGTCAATGAACATTTTATGTAGTAGAATCTTAGTGCAAAATTACTTTCATATAATTGTAAGTTCTTATTTTGGGGATTCAGCCACTTCTCTCATTTCATACAATGTTAATGTCTTGTAATAAAAATGTATAAATCACATCCTATCATTTTCATATTCCTCAAATACACTGTTGCTTCGTAGTCACTGTCTTACATAATTCTCACCAATTTCTATGGCTTTAACTTTTCTCTGTATTCAGTTTATAAACAAATACTTAGGTAATCACACCGTGCCAGGAATTGACTTTAGTGCAGTCATTATAAATAAGGATTACCCCAAGTCATGAGATTCATTTTGATTTCTAATAAAAAGTACTCTTTACAATTATTTATGGGGTGGCTTGTCTGCTGTATACTCATAATACTCATAATCTAACATAGTCTAAGCATATTCTATAGCACATAGTAATCAGTAAATATGGAGTAAGTGATAAATGGTTTTTCTAAGTAAATTATTCTGGCTACATCTTAATAATATGCAAATGGTCTCCCACAACTAGGTTTGTGTTTGTGTTAATGATAGAAAAAGCAGAAATATAGAGCAACAGTATAAAGGTTTAACGAAGTTTACAGTTTTTCTAAAGACTAGATGTGAGCTTCATAACATCTTACTTACATAAGAGGGATTGCTGTTGGTCAACCACAGTCTCTGAAAGCAGAGTGTTCTTAGGTTTTGGGGGAAATCAGAGGTCCGGCAATCTGAGAATATTTCAAATTGGGAGTAAGATGATGTCAGCTTTAGAAGCATGGTAACTCAGGTAAGACCACTGTTAATTAGTTTGAATTCAGAACTATGTTCGTCGAAGTGAATCCACTCTGATTGGCAAACTTTCAGAAGGGAGAGTTTGCTGCTGGTTGGCTGGGGCAAGCATGATAACAATCAGAGAGGCAACTAGTTGTCAATAAGTAGGGTAAACCGAAACTTTTGTTGGTATCTACTTGTTACCATGGCTGCAGAACAGTTTCCTCCTTCATCCTCTTCCTTCTTTGTTTTATTCTCAGTTTATTAATCTTTATATCCTCAGGCTATAGCACATAATTTTGTATATAGGCATTTCCAAAGACTGTGGATTAAATGATTTGAAAATTGAATTAAGTTATTTTGAGTCTCTTAGAAATTCTGTCTACATTCCCTTGTTTACATATCCCCCATAGACAGTTCTACCTTCGTTCTCTAACACTTTCTCTCTGGATTACAGTCCTAGCCTCCTTTTTCTTTCAAGCTTTCTCCATCAATCCATTCTGTCCTTAAAGATTTCACTTTAATAAAATTTTGATGGTGTCACCTTCTTGTTGAAAAGTAGTTACTCTCCAACCTACTGAATGAGGGCCGAATTTTCTAGTTTGCTATTGATAAGCCCTCAGAGTTCTACATACAGTCTACCAGTTTCATCTTAGTTTTCACTATGCTCCTCTCTGTAGCTAAGACACACAAAGCCACTGTTCCCAAGACATGGGCAATGTGTCCCTACCTCCAAGATATTCCCATTGCCTAGAATACTCTTCCCCATTCCCTCATTTCCAGTGATTGAAAATTCCTATGCATAATTATTTCATATTCCTATTCAAAAAGAATCACTTGATTCTCCAATATTATATGATTTTAAAAATCTGAACATGTTAAACACTGGTTGTGCCAATTAGAGGAACACATTTAAATTCTGTTCAGCAATGAGATTACTTTGTACTCATTATTTAGTTATTTTCTTACTCCAAATTGTAAGTAGAATTCATGGATTCTCTATCTTTTAAATCTCCTGCATAATCTACCAAAATATTTTGAATATAATAGATTTCTTGAAAATGTATGCTGACGAAATTAAAAATATTTCAGAAGGCCTAAGTTCCTTTCTTAAAAAAACACTGATTTCTATCTGCTGGCAGTTTTGAGTTCCACATGATCGCAGAAGTGGGATAGTAATAGTTTGGGGCAAAATGTCAGTAGTTCTGTTGAGTAAGTGCATATTTATTGTAATGACTGACATTTACGAATAGTTGTATTCAGTCCTCATGTTTTATGGAAATAAAATTTATTACAATGTTTGACATTTTCTTGGGGCAATAAAAGTAATGCTTGGACAATTGTTCACCTTTTTTTTTTTTTAATTTGTATCATGGCATATATTTGAGGCCAAACCTACATGCGTATGGCTCTGTATAACATAGCAATGAATAGGCTCAGGCTCAACCCTTTTTATTTCAGTGTTTTCTTACATCATGTTTTTATTTGATATTACTAAAAATGAAAGAGTTCTAAGTCATGCTAATCACAGATAAAACTGGGTAGTTACTAGTGAGAAAGAAGAAAGTTTTCTAGAATTTTAAGATATGGTAAAGTTATAGTATCCACCATCTAAGAAACAATTGGTTAAATATTTTGAAAAACAATTATCAAATGAACTGGAGATTTCTAGGCTCAGAATTCCAAAGCTAAGTTAGCAAGATTATTAAGAATGGCAGTGTCCATCTCATATAAGAGTACCAACCCATATGAATGTTGGGGTTGTGTCATTATGGAATCCTCATGGCTAAATAGCACCCTCATATATCCACAGATTATTTACTATGCAACATGGCATTGAGTGCCATAATTCTGGGAGTGTACCAATCTAATATTGTTTATACATGTTTAGTATTAAACATTGAATCTTATTTAATTCTTCTTTAAAAAGTATTTGCAAAACTTACTTTGACCCTCTGTTGGTTAAAAATTAAAGTATAATAAGTTGAGCATATGTGTTATATAACTTTGTACCTCTCAGCGTTGTGCATTGAAAAGTCCAATAAATATCATTTGAAAAAAATGAAGAGAACAGTAAAACGAGAGATGATGTAACAGTCTGTTTATAATTAATGTTTTTGGCCCTTATTCAAAATGTAGCAGGCTTAGCAGTTTCAGTAGCACTTGGGAGATGACTGGAAATGAAAAGAGCTCCAGGCTCCACCCCAGATCTATTGAATCAGATTCTGTAGTTTTAAAAGGTTCCCAGGTGATTCATATGCACATTAAAAATTGGGAAGTACTGTATTATTCTATGGACAGAAGTAGACCAAGGAACATTAGTTAATTTTTCCCTCTCCTGCAGCTCTTTTGAAAAATACTTTAAAAATAGTTGTTCTGATTAATCATGGTCCCGATACTTGCAAAAGAATTGATGAGGGGGTCCAAAGTGGCTCCCGCCGGAGGTCATGGCGCTCACGAAGGCGAGGTCATCAGTTCAAGGCTAACCTGAGCAACCTCATAAGCTCAAACTGATTGGCAAAAAAAAAAAAAAAAAAAGAATTGATGAGGTCACTTGTTCAACCTCCTTTTGTGCTAATGGACTTGAGACTTGACTCTTGGCTTTTTCACTTATAATCATAACACCTGATCCAGAATATACATATTTCATACAGGTCTCTTAATAGTAGTTAAGCTAAGGTGAATTTATGGCAAGTAAAATGCATTGCCACATTGCCTTGACCTGCTTCCAGGATTTATGTTTATCTTTTGTCTTTGATTTTTATATTAATTCATTGTCAAAAAGCAAAAATTATATATAGATCATGTACAATATGATTTGAAATATGTATACATTCTGTAATGGCTAAATTGAACTAATTAACATGAATTACTCTCACGTTTTATGGTGAGTGCACTTAGTATCTACTCTTACAGCAATTTTTAGGAATAAAATACTTTATTATTAACTAGATTGAACAGTAGATCTCTTGAACTTATTTTTCCTATCTGAAATTTGGTGTCCTTTGACCAGCATCTTCCCAATTCCCACCCTGCAGCCCCTGGTAACCACCTTCCACTCTCTACTTCCATGAATTCAACTTTTTAGATTACATGTATAAGTGAGATCATGTGGTACTTGTCTTTCTATGTCTGGCTTATTTCACTTGATATCCTCCAGATTTACACATGTTGTCTCAATGACAGAATTTCCTTTTTTTTAAAGGATGAAAAAGGATGACAATGAAATGCTATGTTGATAGCATTTCATTGTCAGAACTTACGTTTTAATACTTCTAGTACTAATGACACACTTCATATAAAGGATTCTTTTACATCTTGGTTCACTGGAATGAGTGCAGTAAGTAAATTGTAATGCCAAGTAGCAAAAGAATCTTTGGAAGGAGCTGCCACTCCATATGTGTTATTACAAATTATTATTGACTTTAAATGCTGGGTTTCATTTACTCTTTGGATGTGGCAAAGGACATGAAGTCAGATCAACTTAATGTGCAGGACTTTTAAATTTATCTCTAATATCTAAGAAGGAAAGTGACATTCTACTTTAACAGATGCACCATAATGTAAACAAATAATTTGTTTAAAATTAACAAATTTTAAAGGAATAATACAATTAACAAATTTAAAGGAATATTAAAAATCATATGGTATTTTTCTGTTTAATTTATATTGTGGATACATGACTCATTTCAGCACAGAGACATATTTAGCTCTCTGCATACTTTAATGTCAGCAAGATTCAATTAAAAGGTATAAGGTTTCTTTACTGAGAAGCAAAGCATTAAGCCATTTTGTGTAATTGTTTAATTACCAGTGTACCATTTTAATTGACAGGTTAATATAAATTTCCATGGAAAGGAAAATGTAGTCTTATTTTAGTTTCTTATCTAACGAAAGATACTCTGTTAGATGGGCTAGTTTAGCAATCTGACTTAGGAAAAACTATTATGGAATGAAGTTTTTATATGAACAAGGAAAAGAAATTAACTTTAGTGCTCATCTCATTGTTCTGCCAAATTGGAAAGACATTTTAGGCCTGATTATCATGTTCTAATTAGTCTCTGGAGGACGACATTCATGGACTATTGGGTGTTCATTAATCTATTGTGTTCCTGTAACATTGATTTGTTCATTATCCTTTTAGAGTCTCAAATATAGAAACCAAAAATTGATGTGTAGTGTTAATGTGCTTACAGATGTTGCTACCACTTATCCAGATAAGAAGTCCATCTTAATGTACATCACATCACTCTTCCAAGTTTTGCCTCAACAAGTGAGCATTGAAGCCATCCAGGAAGTGGAAATGTTGCCAAGGCCACCTAAAGTGACTAAAGAAGAACATTATCAGTTACATCATCAAATGCACTATTCTCAACAGGTAAAGTATTTAAATGACAGCTAATATCAAAGATGTTATTTATATGCATTTTTAGTTATGGTACTATATATATAGATATATATGTACACATATATCTTTTATATATATAGTACATATATATTTTATGTGTGTGTGTATATATACACAGAGATGCACAAACACAGAGCCTAATGTATGTATATATGCAGAAAGAGACAGACAGAGGCTGTGTAAACCTTTTCAATTTTGCTTTATGAACTACAATATTCTTTTCAAAACATATTTAAAAAACACTATGGATATGTGCCATATTGGAATGTAGAACATAAACTATTGCATTTTCATTGTGTAACACACAATGGAAATGAAAGGCAAACTTAAGTACATATTAAACTCTCAAATCTTCATCAACTAGAACAAAGAACTAGAGCATGATTAAAGACAAGTGCTGTTTTTAATAATTAAAAATACTTCGTGAAAATATGTACAAAATCAACAGGTTTTGATTATTCAGAGTAACAATTTTGAAAATAGAGAAGTAGTTTAAAATACTACAAATAAACATGAAAGGAAAACATGATGAATTCTTCATTATCTAATGATATAGAATTCAGTGGGATTCTTCCAGTATATTGGCTTGTTCTTGCTCTCAACAGTGGGTAGTTTGGATGTTTTCCTATACTTTCTCAGGCACATACAATAGTGAAAAAAACCTTTAGCATCATTCCTGCTGAATGTGTAGAAAGCTTTTAGGCCAAACTCCCTCACTTGACTGAGCTAGCTCTATATTAGCTTATGAAATCTTCAGTCCTTTGCAGTGTATGGACCTGATGAATTCCGGTTTTACTTACTTTGGATTTAGAGAAAATTGTTTCTTGTTGCCTGTTTTTGCCGGATTGAAGAGCATCATCCCATGTAAATGTTGGAGTTGTGTCTTTACGGAATCCTCATGGTTAAATAGCACCCTCATCTCTTCCCGGATCATTTACTATCCAACATGACATTAAGTGCCTTAATTCTGGGAGTGTACCAATTTCTAATATCGTTTATACATGTTTAGAATTACACATTGCATCTCACCATTTCCATTTAATGTTCTGTTTTCTACTATGTTGGAAAGTAGTCCTTTTAGGTTACTTACGGTTTTCCCTCCTCCTCTCTGTCTACTCCCCCAAACCCTTCTCTGCAGATCACAGTCAGTCTAGCACAGGGCTATGAGAGAACTACTTCCTCTCCAAAGCCTCGATTCAAGAGTTATGCCTTCACACAGGCTGCTTATGTCGCCACCTCTGACCCTACACGGAGCCCATTTCCTGCACAGGTCTGTCAGCAGTTACTGTCTGTTGTACAAACCAGAGAACTGCTTCCACAATAATCTAGCACTGCTTTTACTTGCTTGAGTGTTTCAGTGCCTTTTGTCTCCCCGTGAAGAGCTGTTTTGTTTTTCCCCATTTTATTGATTCCCTCATTTGATTCTGCTTTGTTATTGAGACTTCTCTAGGTTTACTACATGATGATTTTTCATAAATATGAATTCCCATAATACCCATAATAATAATTATTGCTTTCATTATATAATAGCCTGTATGATTCTCTTTTACAAAGGCTATTAGTGGTTAAAAAAACGTGAAGCTCATTAAAAGGTTTATATATGTATCTTCAAGATGTGGGCAAATAGATGAAAATTACTAATTATGCTGTTTGGGGAGATCTTTCTAGATATACATAAAGGAAATACATACTCTAAGTGAATTATTTGATATATTCATTCTAAAATATATAATCTGTGTAAGAAAAATATTACTGCAAGCTTCTTCATATGCTCCCTTTTAATTTTGCTTATTTAAACTTGTATATAGTAGGCTTTGTAGCATTTATAAGAAAAAGTCAGGATCAAACCAGGTTGTATGCTAGACAATGTTTAGTATTTTCTATATAAGGAAGCTTCTCAGTGGAGTTTACCACCCTTGCAATATTGTATGGGACCCAACATACAAGAGATAGCCTTGTAGATGTTTCCAGATGGGAATGAAATGCGCTAGGATTGCTAGATTTGCAAAAATTACTTTTTAACAAAAATGCCTTATTTATTTCACTCAATGGATCCAATTTGAAATGTCCCAGAGGGATGTGATTTTTATCAAAACTATGCTATGAATGGGAGTTTAAAAACGATAGACCTGATCCTACTGGCTAAAAATTATGTACATTTTGGGAGACTTGATTTATTTTAAGGTAGTAGTGTGCATTTAATTGGTAATTTATTTGGCCCTTGATTAATGCAATAGCTGAAAATTCTAAACTCCGGATGGTTATAACCTCCATCCTTGGCTAGTTTACTTGTAAAGCTCTCTTCTCACTCCCTCTCATTCTGGATCTTGACTCCCCATGGACTCTCTATATTCTTTTTATCACCACTCCCCACAGTGAAACCACGAAGACTTAAGGACTAAGTGTCACCTCCTAAAACTGAGGAGCATAAACCAAACAAAGAATATAAGGATTTTTTCACTTTCTCATTATCACTTTATGGAGCTGCCTTTTCTAGGTTTTCTCAATGCCTATTCTGGTAGCCCATTTTCACCTCATTACCACCTCATTAAGGCATTGCTCAGGTATGACTTTTTAATGAAGTAATTGCAAATGGACCTACATCCTGCTAGACTCTCTTTGTTCATTCTGCCTTTGTGTAAATATTACCAAGCATGTAATATGTCATAAATTACAGATAATTCAACAAATTCACTTATCTGTTTTGTTTACCATAAGCCATTTAAATAAATGGAATGGTTATCCTTCAGAAAAGAAGCAGCACAAATCACAAGAGATGGAGGATGATATATTCTGACGGTTACTAAAGGAAGCATAGCAGAAGATGATGTTACATATAGTTAGGTTTGATAAGTTTATGCTTTAATTATTTACACTAAGAAAATTTTTTTGAAAGTGTCAAAAGGACTGAGCTTACACTGTCCCTATAGGCTGTATCTGCTCTACTTCAAATGAACTCAAGACAGGCTAGATTTGATTCCATCAGAATGTTATATTGAAGTGTTTACTCGTTGATCTACAGAGAAAAATGAAGTTTTCTATAAGAGAAGAGAGCCATGCAGGTGACTGTCCCTTACGGAAAACACCTGCATGCCCCTACTCCCCAAACACACCACTCTAATTTAACTGTTCATTTACTTCCACAAATACGTTTTCTTAGTTACAGAGCCAAATGGCTTTTATTTAACTCTCCTAACTTTCTACGACTGATGACAGATTTTTCTCAGAGCCTCTACACTCAGCAGGTTCTTCCTCTCTGACTATTCTGTGTCTTTCATTATCTGGCTTTTTCTGCTCTTCCAATTTCCTTGGCTTACTAATCTCATGGGAGATCTCTTGGCCTTCTTACCTGTGTACTTGTTCTCTTATCAAGTACCTTAATCTCGTGGCTTCAATCTGTATGCAAATGGTCATTGTATGTATGTCTTCACCACTTCCAATCTTTCTTGAGTTACGGCCACGTTTCTAACTCATTTTCAACTCTGTGGTATGTTTCTATATCTTGATATCCACTAATATCTCAAACCTAGTGTCTCCAAGTGAACTTCTGTTTCTTGTCCATTTTTAAAATGTTAGTCACAGCCCTAGTAATATCATTCACAAATTTTTTCACTTTCTTTTGCCTGTATAACAAGGCTGCTCTCCTAAACTGCCTCAAAAAGATTTCTGATATATTAATAATTTATATTTATGCTCATTACACATGTATTTCATGTTTTCTTCAACCAAATTAAGTCGCTTGTTCTACACAGGTTCCCAGAAGTTTTCCATGTTAGCTTTTATGCTTCCCTTAGCTTGGAGTACTTCTGTATCTGTTTGAAATTGGCCAACTTAATTCATATTTCTAGACCTAATTAGTTAGTGGCAGAACCTGAATTCAAATTCACATTTATCCAACTCCACGCCCATGCTCATTATACTAGAGTGACACTGCATTTTCTCTACTGTGATTCTTGTATATTGGGTTACTCTCACATAGAGCAGTATTCATACATTCAGTTATTTAGCACTTGTTTTTGAGTCACCTACTGTGTGCCAGGTACTATTATTGGACCAAGAGACACACAAATAAACACACAAAACAGTCTGTGTCGGAATTTATTCTAATTTTATTATCCTCTTGATCTCTTCCCTCTTGCCATATGTTTTTAACTCATTTAATAAGTGGTAAGGCCGGTTGTGGTGGCTCACACCTGTAATCCCAGAACTTTGGGAGGCCAAGGCAGGTGGATCACCTGAGGTCAGGAGTTCCAGACCAACCAGACCAACATGGTGAAACCTCATCCTACTAACAATACAAAATTCGCTGGGTATGGTGGCACACACCTGTAATCCCAGCTACTTGGGAGGCTGAGGCGGAATTGCTTCAACCCAGGAGGCGGAGGTTGCAGTGAGTTGAGATCATGCCATTGCACTCCAGCCTGGGCAACAAGAGTAAAACTCAGTGTTAAAAATAAATAAATAAACATTAATAAATGGTATGATAGGAGCATTTTAATTTTATCTGTGAGCTTTTCTGTTTCATGATCTTGAGGACAGCATATCTGGGAGCAGAATTGGAACCCAATATTTCATTAGATTCATTTCTCACCTGATGTAGTACATCTGATGTATGAAAAAATTAGAGAAACTGAGGATTACTGTGAGGTTTTTCACTTAAGAAACTGACCGAACAGAATTGCCACAAACCAAGATGGAAGAGACTGTAGAAGGAACAGGTTTGGGAGTAAACATTAGAGTTTTAGTTTTGAACATATAATCTTGACATAACTATGAGGCTTTGAATGCATGTGAAGACGGGGTTCTAAGATCAGAGTTGAGGGTAATAATAGTATTTAAATCCATTGTCCTGGATAAGGTTATGAAGAACAAATGTGAAGACAGATAAGAGATCTCCAGATTAATATATGATGAGGCATCAGCAAAGGGGTTGAAAAGGGTGGCTAGAAAGGAGAGAAAACGGAAAAGATAAATGTGGTTTTCTGGAATCCAGAGGAAAGTGTTTTCGGGAAAAAGAAGATGTCTAACTATATTAAGTATTGCTGATTAGTTCAAATAACATAGTTGAAAATTATTCAATGAATTTAGCAAATCATCAGTAGAGTACAATATCTGGGAAATCCTAATATATAGCAGTTATTATAATGGAATTACTAACACACCTATTCACTCTTAAAACATTTCCATTTTGACCAATAAGTTATACACTCACTCTAGCTTACATCCACTTTAATAAAAACAATTTCAGTGGGGTGTGTGTGTGTGTGTGTGTGTGTGTGTGTGTGTATGTGTATGTGTGTGTTTGGAGTTGTTTCTGGTTAGAGTAGGTTCAAATGACAGTAAGCATGAAGGCTACTTGCATTTTAACAATTTAAAAAAACAAAAATACTGAGCGCTGGGCACAGCGGCTCATGCTTATAATCCTGGCACTTTGGGAGGCTGAGGCAGGCAGATCATTTGAGGCCAGCAGTTTGAGACCAGCCTGGCCAACATAGCAAAATGCTGTCTCTAATAAAAACATAAAAATTAACTGGGTGTGGTGATGCACACCTGTAATCCCAGCTACTTGGGAAGCTGAGGCATGAGAATCGCTCAGAGCCGGGAGGTGGACGTTGCAGTGAGCTGAGATCACCCACTGCACTCCAGCCTGGGCAAGAGTCTATCTGAAAACACTACACTGAATAGTTGATGACCACAGGAACAAAAACATACTTCTTTTAAATTAACCCACCCTGATAACTAATCATGTGCCTATGTATTAGTTTTTTATTTCTGATGCAATAGATAAAAACCTAGAGGCCTTAGACAATACATACTTATTATTTTACATTTCTGTAGTTCAGATGTGTAAAACAGGTCTCTTTGTGCTAAAATTACTGTATCAGCCGGGCTGCCTTTCTTTTGGAGTTTGTAGTGGAAAACCATTTCCATACCTTTTCTAGAGGCTGACCACACTTATTGGCTCATGGCCCCCTTTCAACTTCAAAGCTAAGAAGGGCAAATTGAATCTCCTGTGACATCACCCTAACCTACTCTTCTGCCTCCCACTTCTACTTTTAAGACCCTTCATTATTACTTACTTGCTATGTGACCTGGAGAGAGTTTCTTGAACTCTGGGCCTCAGTTTCCTCATGTGTATTATTAAAACTATTTGTAACTCATAGAGCTATTATGAGGGTTAAATGAGATGAATTACCTAAAGAACATTCCATGGTATAAGCACATTGTAAGTTTAAAAAAAAAAAAACCCACCAACCAATATCATGATTA